TAAATAAATAAATAAATAAATAAATAAATAAATATCCCTAGACCATTACCCTTAGTGAGTTCTTTGAGGTATATTGTGCTCAATGGTTGTCTATAGACTTATATTTGGAGAACGTAGATATTTCAGCAATAAATATTTGGTTTGGGACAAATATTTGGCCAGCTGGGTGACTTTGGACAATTCTCTCTCATGCCCAACCCCCCACATGGTTGTTGTTGCAGAGAAAATAGGAGGAAGAAAGTGTGTTGGATATCCCAAAGTGCTTTTTTCAGGAGGCAATTCAACTTTCTTGTTTTTTCTTCTTTTCACCTTTGGGGTAACCATGACCTGGATGATTGGGAATCTCCATTGACATGTGTTGGATATGTTCACTGCCTTGAATTATTTGTAAAAATAATAAAAGTAAGATATAAACCAACAATCAAAAACATAATTCATTTACCTGTTATGTTATTGAAAAGTTAATGGTGTAATATGGAAGCAAAATAATAGCTCTAACCCAGGAGGTTCCATTTGGCAGAAGTGACTATTGACAATTAAGCTAAATGACTTAATTGTTAATGACACAGCTTTCCCCAAAATATTGAGAAATAATTCAAAATTCTGGAAAAGGTTATAAGATCTTTCACATATGCAGTTGAGCAAAAAGTGAAAGGCAGGATCTTGTCCCTTTGAGTTGTGCTGGTGATTTCCATTGATTGGAATTTCCTCGACCATCAGAACAGTCTTTGCTACATTATCCTTGTTGATGTCAACCCATTGGATGAGAAAATTGATATCATTATGAGTGTTAGCCGAATGTCTTCCTAGATTTTGCTGTTGGTGGAAAAGAATTACTCAACATATGCAATAGTGGGACTGTGGAGAGGCACAAGAAAGTCTCCTCTAGAGAAAATGCTGACGGTATTGATCATACTGTGGTTACTGGTTGACCTGAAGTGTCAGACAGATGCCATAACGTGCCCCAGAAGTGATCCCTCTCCTATCCATCATGAATGGTATAAGCCAGGAAACCGCCTCATTGGTGGGATTACAGCTCAGGTTGTATATGTGTTTGAGGAACTATCCTTTGAGGAGCATCCTTCACAGAAGTCAATTATGCCTCCTCTGTAAGTAATTGTCTTTTCCTTTTCCGTTTTCTCCATATGTTGTTGGAGACTGCAAAAATCTGTCTGTCTGTCTGTCTGTCTGTCTGTCTGTCTGTCTGTCTGTCTGTCTGTCTGTCTGTCTATGTATCTATGTATCTATTTATCTATGTATCTATGTATCTAAGTATCTATGTATCTATGTATCTATCTATCTATCTATCAATCGATCTATCGATCGATCTATCGATCGATCTATCATCTATATATCTATTATTTATATGTCTGTCTGTCTGTCTGTCTGTCTGTCTGTCTGTCTGTCTGTCTGTCTATCTCTATCATTTATCATCTATCATCTATCATCTATCTATCTATCATCTATCTTCCATCCACTCCTGGCTGTTTTTATAATTTAAGCATATAAATATTGTAAGGTTTCACACCCAGTATTTTACCAGCTGTATTTGTAATAAGAAGTTCAATGTTGCAGTCAGATCTTCAAAGTTCCTGATTTCTTTAAGACTCCCCCCAATTTTATTATCACACATGCTACTGTGGATCAATTTGACTGATTCATAGAATATTATATAGTAATACAATAGTTCACAAGGGTCTCTGTTGATGACTACATTCCAGAGTATTAGATAACTTATGTGGGGGGTTAGGAAATGATAGTGACAGGCTGTTTGCTAAATTAGCTGTTGCATAAAATTATGGAAAACCTTCCATGAAATTCATGTTGACCTTTACAGCAAGTATAAAGCACTGCCTTTTGGCTAGTGGTTCATCACATTTTCCCCATGGAATCACCAGTCCCTTCCTTATACTCAAATCTCACTATGACCATTGTCCACATCAAAACTTGCCAATTACACACTCTAAACAAATCACCTTTGTAATTTCCAAGAACCTGTAGATGTCACCCTGCATCTTGGAAAATCTATGCAAGTTTACAGAGAATTACTTTCTATACATCTCTTCTCATTTAATGTTGAATGTAATGAGCTGTTCTGAGATTTCCAGTGTGAACAAAGGAGATACAATCCCAACCCTTAAAAAAGATACCACATTGGTGAACACAAAAGATAAAGCATCATTCATAGAGGTTAGTTGGTATCTTTTTAAAAGTAGTACACCACTGCCCTAATCTAGGATAAATGTTGACTTCCCTATCTAGTCTTCAAATATGAGATTTTTTTTGATGGAAATCTATTATAGTATCAAATCCTGGAATCAATATATTTTTCTAAATTCCCATTGGGACAGTTTAGATCTGAAGAGTTCTCCTTAAATAGAAGAAACTCTAATCAGCAGGGCCAACCTAAGGTACTGTATGGGTTTGTATATTTTATTTATATATTAAAGACATTTATATGTCCCTTCCAACTCTATTCTGATTGATCGAGATTTAACAGGAATAAATAATGCACTGTGAGAATGAACTCGAAGTATTTCCTTGGGCTTCAACTGGACCTTGCATTGATAATAAAAATAATCACCATCTGCCTGCTTTCTAGCTCTGCAATGAAATTGCACAGCATATTTTCTCACAAGCTAGTCCAGTTGTAGACCTTTGTCTCACGATGCACCACATGTTTCTCATTGGTTTTTATACAGTATTGACTGTCTATCACAATTCACAAATTTTGTATTTTTACTATTGCTTCACTGAATATATTCTTCTTGCCTCAATCAACCTGTATTTCACTTATCTCCAATTATGTTATCAGAGCCATTTTAAAGTTGTATCAGCATTCCCTGAGTTTGGCATTTGGTGTGAAACAGATCAACTCAAATCCAACATTCTTGTCTAACGTTACTCTGGGATTTTTCATCTGTGACAACTATTTTGATGCCCGGCTGACTTACCGTTCCACTTTGGAACTGCTCTTCCGATCTGATCACTTGGTTGTCAACTACAGATGTGATATCAAGAAGAATCTCCTTGTGGCCATTATTGGTGGATTTGGTGCTGATATTTCATTCTTCATGTCAGATATCATAAGTCTTTATAAAATCCCACAGGTAAGTTGTATGTATTGACATGTATAAAAACTTATCCATAGGGCAAAATTGTAGGGAATTGGAAATAATCATTTATCAAGCAGGGGTTCGATTCTACTTGAATGATGCATAAAAACTCTTGATGAAAATTGAGCATTAGAATTGAGCCATATTTGATGCATCACATTGCAGAAGGTGAGAATTTACAGTCCTGATCTTGGTGTAAATTCTTCCTGAACCATGGAAGCTAATATGTACTATGTCCCTCACCCTCTCTCAGTCAAATCTATGGGTTTGCCTAGAGCACTATGTCGTGTTGACTGAACCTAACAAAAAATAAATAAGGTAATGGTCAAAGCTTTATTTAAAATTGAAAATGGAATCCATGCAAGAAAAGAGTTTGGAAAAATGCATGTATTTGCATGTCATTAAGAAAATATATTTTTCAGGTTAGTTGAGGTGTACCAACCATAAGAACCAAGTGTACATTGTATTTTAGCTTGCCTATGGCTCTTTTGCTCCAAAGAAGCATGGGACAAAGATGGATGTTTCCTTCTACTGCATGGCTCCCAATGAAAGCCTTCAGATTGTGGCAATAATCTTTTTGCTAAAGCACTTTGGATGGACATGGATTGGCCTTTTAATTCTGGATGATGAGAGTGGAGATAATTTCCTCCAAGCCTTGGATCCACTTCTTTCAGAGAACAGGATCTGCTCTGCCTTTGTGGAGAGAATGCCCAACCAAGTCTTTTTTCATATGTTTCAAAATAAAATTGTGGATAGGATAAATATTTATTTGGAGGACATCAGAATCAACACATTCATCTTCTATGGGGAAAGCACTACAGCAATGCTTTTGTTTATGTTCCTTAAATATACATATTCTTTGAAAATATTGGGAAAAATGTGGATTCTCACAGCTCAAATGGATTTAACATTAACAAGCCTTCATCGACCCTCAGATCTACAATTGTTCAATGGAGCAATTTCTTTTGCTATCCACTCCAATGAACTGCCAGGGTTCAATGAATTCCTTTGGGCCATCAAACCATTCCAGACCCAACGAGATACTTTGTTCAAAGAGTTCTGGGAGCAAGGCTTTGATTGCTCATATATGGGGAATAATAAACCAATGGAAAGTGATGAAGCATGTACTGGGAATGAAGAGCTAAAAAACCTTCCTGGGCATTTATTTGAAATGACTGGCCATAGCTACAGTATCTACAATGCAGTCTATGCTGTGGCACATGCTGTTCATGGCATGAACTTACTTAGGTCTAAATACAAAAGAGTAACAGAAAGTAGAAGGGATGAACTTCAAAATCAAGATACTTGGAAGGTAATAACTTGTGAATCAAAGATTTTCATTGTCAGCATGAAAGTAGAATAATAGATTGAACTAGACTAGACTAGACTAGGCTAGGCTAGGCTAGGCTGGGCTGGGCTGGGCTGGGCTGGGCTGGGCTGGGCTAGACTGGACTAGAATATTCTTTATTGGCTAAGTGTGATTGGACACAAAAGGAATTTGTCTCTGGTGCATGAGCTCTCAGTGTACAAACAAACATCAAAGTAATATAATCATAAGATATCAATAGGAGACGGTAGTAGACTTCCGGTTTTGCACCCGCAGTGCATGACCACGTGAGAGCGGACCACTGCTCCCCACGGCTAGTGTCTTCTGTTTGGGGGAACCCTAGATGGTCTGAAGTTGCCCCGGAGCGGTGTCCGTTAAGGAAGGGCGCCCCGTTGATTACAAAGTGACGGCAATCACTTCGTTTGATCTGAGGAAAGCCCTCCAAACCCGACAGGAGAAAGGGTAGTGTGAGATCAGTGTCTAATCCAAGCTGCTTGCAGCCGAAGTCCCAGAGCATGAACCTAAACATCGGTGAATAGTGTGCTTGGAATTGGTAAGAGTATGGATCTTCTTTCTTGTATCTACTATCTAAATCCTTGAAAAGATCCCCAAAGCAAGAAAACCTCCAGAAGTGAAGGGAGGGGACTATATCCCCATTCCCTTACAGATGGAAGCAGCGAATTAATATTAAAGGAGGGAAGAAATATATTAAAATTTGATTTAAAATACTTCAGTCTGGACAAATTTATGAACTAAAAAACTGTCAAGATTATACTCTAAATTTTTTTTTGATGGAATTATAAAAAATATATAACAAAAATAACTTTTTGATTGAAAGAAAAACTGAAAAAAGAAATAACTGCTGACATCTAGTGGAGACTCAGAGAATAGAACACTAACAATAAGGACTCAGAAATTGACAGAGTGCCTAGAAACAAAGAAAAAGTTGTTCCTTTGAATTGCAAATAACCTTGAGGACAGCTGGGAACAAAGGAAGAGCCAACTATAAGATTAAAAAGTATTTAAAAGGAAAAAAACAACACCTGGACTGTTTTTAAATCTAAGAACTGTTTATGGAAAAGAAAAAAACTTGGCTTTTGGGCTAATCTTTTAGAGGAGAATCTGTAGGATCAGGGGTTGGGGACCTCTGTACTAAGGGGCATTTTGAACCTTGAAAGCAATGTGTCCAGTCCTAGTCACTAAAAAATGAGACGGATCCTGAGGCACTGGAAAAAGTTGAAAAATGAGTGACAAGGTTATAAGAGCTGTGTAGCTTAAATATTATGAAGTTAAATGAACTGATTTCATTTAGCCTAAAGAAGAGAAAGCTAAGGGCAACTTGATAACAGCAGTTGAAGGGCTGTTACCTAGAAGAAAGTGTAGGTTTATTCTCCATAACATCTGAGGGAACCCCACAAACTTATCCATTGGAGTAATTTCTATGTCCATAAAGTTCCCATTTTTTCCTCTGCTTTGCAACTTAAGGAAACTACAATTTCCACTACCAAAAAATAGCTCTCGTAGGTAAGGTGATATGACAAAATAAACAACAAAAATGCTTGATTCCAAATCTCATTATAAAGTCTTCCATGGATTGGGTTTTGATATCATTTAGCTCCAGAAGTCATGCTCAGCCTTGGTGTGTTTTATTGTGCTTTTAAATCTAAGTTTGTGGACTGTAGGTATCCAGTACAAACCATTATGATATCAATATGGTAAAATGTGCCTATATTTGTTTCTCTTGTGGAAACTTATAATGGTGAATTTTGCAAGCTGAGATGGTTCAGTGATAGTTTTGGTTAAAACTGACTGATAGAAAAGTCATGCCATTTTCATTTCTCTAGATATGAATTTCAGGAATATAAATTTCTTGATGTTATCCATTGGTTTGTTTCCTCTTATTTGTTTCCTGATCTTTTAATTTAGCTTCACTGGTTTCTTCAAGGCCTTTCATTTAATAATTCACTTGGAGAATCTGTGTCCATCAACCACCATGGAGAAGTGCTTTCTGGATTTGATATTACAAATGTGGTCATATTTCCAAACAACTCCTACCATAAAGTGAAAATTGGAAAGATGGATCCCAAAGCAATTGAAGGAGAACAATTTATGATTCAGGAACATTTAATTGTGTGGCATAAAGATTTTAAGCAGGTATGGATTTTGAAGTATTTTATAATTTTGGGTGAAAAATTTGAAGATCAAAGATCAGTTGTATTAAAGAATCTGTTTCAGGACTTCTGGTTTGCGCTCGTAGTGCATAACTGCGCAAAGCAGACCTCTGCTCCCCACGGCTAATTTCACCTTGCCAGGGGGACCCTAGATGAGTCCAAAGTTGCCCCATAGAGATGACCGTGAAGGAGGGGCACCGTTGATCACAAAGAGATTGCAATCGCTTTGTTTGATCTGGGGAAAGCCACCCGAACCTGACAGGAGATAGGCTAGCCGCAAGCCAGCATCTCTAGCCCAAGCTACTATAGCCGAAGTCAAGAGCACTACCAAGAACAACGGTGAACAGTGTGCTTGGAACTGGTGATAATATTTGATCTTTTCTCCCTTATTTTACAACTAGTCCCTGGGAAAGATCCCCAAAGCAAACAACCTCTGAAAGTGAGGGGAGGGGACTACATTCCCATTCCCCCATAGACGGAAGCGGTGAATTAACCTTTAAGGAGGAAGGAATCTTATTGAAATTAAATTTAAAAAATACAATCTGATCAAACTTAGAAACTAAAAGAAACTACTAAGATTATATTCTAAAGGATTTTGATTGAATTACATAAAAAAAGAAAAATAATAAGAACTTTTTGTCTGAAAGAGCTGGAAAATAAATATTTGCTGACATCTAGTGGACAATGAGAATATAGCACATTAAAGACAATGCCCAGAAACAAAAAAAAAAATTGTTCCCATGAACTCTAATAACCTTTAAGAAGATAGTTGCTAAGGAACAGATAAGAGATTGCATACTGGGCCGGCTATAAGATTGGAAAGTGTTTGAAGGAAAAGAAATATTTTGATTGTGGTTTAAATTTATGAACTGTTTAAAAACTTTGATCTATGATAAATTATTGAGAAGGGAAGTTACAGGAAGGATTTAAGTTGGCTAAATATATTGTATTGACAATTGATTCCTGAAAGAAAGAATTGTTATAAAACATTGATTTTACTGAAACCTTGACAACTGAAAATTACAGTGGATTACATAAATTATATATAAAAACAAGAACTATACAAAATTGGACTGTATGGATTTTGAATTTTGGTTAGCTTGACAAGGCTAATTACAGGGACTATGGCATTTATGACAGACTACTCAAAGGGGGAGACAACAAGGATATGAAATACTCATCAAAAAATGATAGAAAACCACACTTAATATCTACTCCTGAAAGATTTAGCCTGAAAGATCAAAGACCTTTCGAAACACTTCAAGACAAGACAAATACTTTCCAAGACAAAATTTATGCAATGCTATGACAGATACAAACTACAATAGACCTAAACCATGAGGAGATTAAACATAACTTTGATATTATAAGTGAATATACTTCTAACTTAAATCTACAATTAAAAAAAACATCCAAAGAATGATGGTAAAGAATGAACAAACAATCCAGACAACAGAATGTGAACTAGAAAAAATGACTTAACTGGTGAAGTTACAAATGAAGGGAATTATAACTTAATACAAACAAGAAAAAACTTACAAGACTTGGATACAACAATAAATATGGAAAAGATACCTTATGCATTAGAATGTCAAAATAAACCTGAGAAGAAAGAAGACTTAACAAAATGGACACTGTTAGGAGAATCATTGTTTGGGATACAAAAAGCATACATCCTATCTACTATGTATCCTCTACTTCTAATAATAACTACAAAAATACAAGAACTGGACAAGTTGAAAATATTAATTTGGAAAACAATTTGGCAAATGAAAAAGATTAGAGACGGGCTGAAGAGACTGGATTCACCCTACCAGATGGAATATTATATGAGTAAACACTTGTTTGAATATGCCTACATAAGCAAATAACTTTGGCCATAAAGGGACTTTAGAATAAGTGGGATAAGAGATATAAGTAATATAGTAGTTTTTGATAAGATACAAAATGTAAAAATATTAGGATGTTGTAAGTGAAGGAAAAGTTTGAATTTTAAAGACAAATTAAGTTTGAAAAGATTTAGGATTAAGGAATGATTGAAATATTGAGGGGAAATTAGGCTTAATAAGAACTCTGAAAAAAGGATATATAGTGATTTAACTAATTTTTACAAATAGAAGTGAAATATAAATTAACTAGAAAGATGTTATGGATAGATGTTATGATAGATAAGTAGTATAGTATCTCTATAATATATGAAATTGAAAATACTGGGATGATATATTTAAATGGAAAATTTGGATATTTAGATGTTAAATACTGGGGAAAATATGATTGATAAGAATTGTTTGAATATTATGGAGAAATTGAGCTTAAACAAGATTTATGAAAATAAGATATATGGTGAATCAATAAGATGATTCTTATGAAAATAACATAAGCTGATAAGAAAAAATGCTATATATGGACCCTATGTTTTTACTTAATCATTTAAATATGAAAAATATCAAATATTAGAAATTATATTTGTTTAATGTTGTAGAAGGAGAATACTATTGGGTGAAGAGAAGATCGAGGAAATATATTATCAATTGATATACTAATTATGGAAATATAAAAATTAATTATTATTGATTGTTTATATTATTAATTGTATATGCTTTTCTAAAAAAAATATGAACCAAGACAACACACTGTACACCAGGCACTAAGGTTGTTATTGTAAAAAACCAATAACACTTTTACAAAAAAAAAAAAAAGAATCTGTTTCATATTTTTATATCAGTTAAAATTAAGTACTCAAAATATGGGAGCTATCTCCTGATGTGGGAGAATTATAATTGGCAAATAATTTACATATTATTTAAATAATTTGGGGGCTTGAGATGGTTTTTTTTGCTGAGCTTCTTACTTAGATTTAGTATATTATTATAATAATAATAATAATAATAATAATAATAATAATAATAATAATAATAATAATAATAATAATAATAAAAAAAGTTGGAAGGGACCTTGGAGGTCATCGAGTCCAACCCCCTGCTCAGGCAGGAACTGACTCCTAAAGTTATGATTGGGCATCCAAAATTCCATCAACTAGATAAATAGGAAGCAAATTCTGAACTTTAGAATTTTAAAATTTCCTGGAGCAGGAACTCAGAGGTAAAATTTAGGCTGTGATTTTTATTTGTGTTCTACTTGTACAAAGCTAAATATTAAATCTCAGAGTGGGTATTTTTTAATTCCAGAGTGGTGAAGGGAAGGGAAAGGTTAGATGAAACCAACTGAATTATTTAGAAAGTGTCAGAGAGATTTCCAGGTGCTGCACTGTATTTCATGATCCTCTGACTTCTGCTACTTTATATATGCAGGTAGATTAGAAGATACCAATATTACTCAAATCCTTAGTCCTATATTCCATCCTGGTTTATCAACAGGTCCTGCCCCGTTCAATATGTAATGATCCCTGTCCTGTTGGCTATCAGAAGAAAAAGAAAGAAGGTGAGAAATTTTGCTGCTATGATTGTGATCCATGTTCTGATGGGAAGATGTCAAACATTTCAGGTAAATTAGTCTCTATTTTACTCTACTCTACTCTACTCTACTCTACTCTACTCTACTCTACTCTACTCTACTCTACTCTACTCTACTCTACTCTACTCTATAGCATATTACATTTTTCACTGCAAAGTACACCAAATGGTAAATTACTTTTATTTACATATGAAGCTGATTTGCTTGCTTCATTTATTCTAAATCTTCATACTAGAAGATTTCAATTGGCTGGATACATAAAATTCAGTAATACCACTGAGAAAAGCTTTAATTCTTAACATGAGGAAAATAGATAGAGGTCCTGGATCAAACTGTGCCCATACAACTCTCTCTTCTCTAGGATTCCAGCATTCTGTCTGGTTTAGAGGATCTGAGGGAATTAAAACAGGAGAAGAAAGATCTAGAATGTTGCACTGAACAAAAAACGAACTTGATCAAACAAGGGTAGAGTTGCAATGAAGGTTTACCTTATGATGTTAGGGCTGTGAAGTGCCAGTACATATCCACATTTACTGCATCAGCAGATTGCCTCCCCCTAACCTCAGTCCTTGTTTCAGAACATACAAGTCCAACTGGTAAGGAGAGCATGAAGAAAATATTGCAGGAGTGTGCAGAGGAAATTGTGTCGCATTTGCCAGATGCAATTGCTGAGATTTATTCCTGATTGGACATTGGCCTTGATGCAAGTCCAGAGAAAATTCCTGGGGAGAAGTCTTGCATGATTATTTAGGAATGGTTTGAGCCTGTTGGAGCTGAGGAACTGGAGAGGGTTCTTGGGATTGTGAGCTTAATCACCTGTTTTCTATTTTTTTTATAAGTTTTATTGATTTTTTAATACAGTTCAACAGTGCTTATTCAACAAATGTGTCTTGCTGCTGTTGTCACATGTAAAATCAAACATATATTTTGTCAAGGTTTTCTGGCATTATACCTAATAAAAAAGTTCAGGTTTAAAATCTAAATGGTTACCCAGCATCTTTTCTAGCCATGTATGCATTTTTGTCCAATATTTCTTTGTTTTAACAGATGTCCACCATACATGATAATAAGTACCTGGTTTATGATTACATTTCCAACATTTATCTGACATATTTTTAAATATTTTTGCTAATCTTGCTGATGTCATCTATAAAACATTTTGTATAAGTTTTCTTTATAAGAGGTTGACATTGTCAATTTATAATTTTTTTCCCCACAGGCTTTGCTATTTCTCTAAATCTGTATTATATCCAAAATTCTTTGCCCATGTTATCATTGTTTCTTTTACTTGTTCATCTTCCATTTTCAAATTCAATAGAAAGTTATACATTTTCTTAATTAGTTTTTCATCAGAGATTAATAATATCTGATCAAACATAATCTGCTCTTTATAGAATCCATACAATTTAATATCTTTATCATATTACCTATTTTCTAGATCCATGTCCAACTTGGGTTGTAAAAGTGGCCCAAAGACAGATAGGTAGGGAGGGAAGGGAGATGGAGATTGAGACAGAGAGAAAGAGAGAGGGCGGGAAGGGAGATTGAAGCCCAGAGGGAAAAAAAGTAAAGTTTGACCATATGATTGAAGTCCAATAACATGTTTTGCATGCATGTAATAGATATGATACCATTTAAAAATGTGCAGGATTTCAGCAGCAATATTAAAAATTGACAGGGCTTCAAGCAAACATTTATGCCTATCATTTGGCATTTTGAAATATCTCTTATATGCATTCATGCCTAAGATTTGGAGAAAGAAAGACTGAAGAAAGTTTATGGAATATTGCCTTTGTGATGCTAAGTGTGATTACCACTAACACAGAACATTCCTATCTCAAATAGTTTACCTTTATTCTCATCTAATGATTGAATCCAGTCCTTTTCAAAGTTAGCTATTTTAAGAGGGGAGGACCTCAAATATGAGAGGTCCAAAGCTAAAATTCTGAGATTTCTAGTGTAGACTTCTTGTGGTTAGGTTTGAAAACTACTGATCTAATCTAATATTATACTTAGTGCTGTATCAATCATTATGATTAGATTCCATGCTTCTTAGCCTCTATCTTATTTGCAGACATGATTGCCTGTTCTGAATGTCGAGAAGATCAATATCCAAGTAAGGACAAAGTTCGATGCATTGCCAAAATCATAACTTTTCTAACTTTTGAAGAACCTTTAGGAATCAGTTTAGTGGTGGTTGCTGCTTTATTCTTAATCATTACCACGTTCATACTTGCAATATTCATTAAGTATAAAGACACTCCTATGGTTAAAGCTAACAACAAGGACCTCACATACACTCTCCTCATTTCCCTTCTGCTTTGCTTCCTCTGCTCTTTTCTCTTCCTTGGAAAACCTCTCAAACTGATTTGCTTCCTTCAACAATCTGTGTTTGGCATTATCTTCTCGGTGGCCATTTCTTCTGTATTGGCCAAAACCATCATGGTCATTGCAGCATTCATGGCCACCAAACCAGGGTCTGGCATGAGAAAATGGTTGGGGAAAAGGTTGTCCATCTTAATTGTTTTTTCTGGCTCCTTCATTCAAGCAAGCATTTGTCTGGCATGGATGATCACCTCTCCCCCCTTTCCAGAGCTTAATATGCAATCAGTGGCTGAAGAGATCATAGTAGAATGTAATGAAGGATCTGTTGTGATGTTTTATCTTGTCTTGAGCTATATGGGATTTCTGTCGCTGGTCAGCTTCATGGTGGCTTTTCTAGCTAGGAACCTGCCAGACACATTCAATGAAGCCAAGTTCATCACTTTTAGCATGCTGGTGTTTTGTAGTGTTTGGTTAACTTTTGTTCCCACCTATTTGAGCACCAAAGGAAAGTATATGGTAGCTGTGGAAATCTTCTCCATCTTAGCTTCTAGTGCTGGGTTATTGGGATGTATTTTCTTCCCCAAATGCTACATTATTTTGTTGAAGCCTGAACTCAACAGTAAACATCAACTTGTAAAGAAAAAGCATTTCTGACTATTAAATGGTGGCTGCATATATTTATGCTGTGAAATGGAATTAACAATCCTTTTCTGAGAATAAAAAAAGGCTTATTAGTTCTGGCAATTTTATCAATATTTTATATGCATAATATTATAACAGTGTTTGTCAAATTATTATAGCAGTAGCAAGAGTAATATCATTTAGACTTATATACCACTTCACAGTGCTTTTAAGCCCTCTCTAAGTAGTTTACAGAGTCAGCATATTGTCCCTAACATTCTGGATTTTCATTTTACCGACTTCAGAAGAATAGAAGGCTGAGTCAACCTTGAGCCAGTCAGGATCGAACTGCTGGCAGTGGGCAGTGTAATGTTGTAATACTGCATTCTAACCATTGTGCTACCATGGCTCGTCTTTATGAACAAAAATGGAAAATAAAATCTTTCACTGTATAATGCTTTTAATCAAGTATTTTCTTTTAGTTCTGATTATTTCCATGACCAATTTAAAGAAAAAAATTAGATCTTCTTCAAAAGAGATGTGTAACCAGGGCTTTTTTTGTCATAGAACGCCCAGAACGGAGTTC